GCTTAGTGTGAGGGATTGCTGAAGAGTCAATGAGTCGATGCAATCAGCTGGTTTTCCTTAGATAGAAAACTTTGAATCAATCTGACTGGATGATCTGATTGATGTGGATCTATAAAGTGACCTGAGATGACATGATGTGAATTGAAATAATTCTTTCTCTGTGACTAATTTCTGGGTGATAGTCACCTTGCATCAACCATAAGACTTAATAATAATAAGAAAAATATCACATTATAAAACAGAAGAAACAGAACTGGAGGCTCAAGCTGACGGACAAACATTTAATAATCATAATCAAAGTTTTTCATATTTAATTGAATAAAGATGAAGAAAAGAAACACATTTTAAATAAATACCCCAAACTAAATAAAATCCCAACATGTGTTGCTACGGTTCCCCTAACTCTCCCTCCACGGTCCGGACCAGAACGTAGAGCTCAGCCAGGCCCACCACAGACGCAGCGATCACAGCGGAGATCACCCTCTGAAACAAACAACAACAACCAGGAAGTGACGGCAGCCTCAGTGGGACAAAAACAATACGGAGGAGATGTTAGATGCACAGAATCTGATGATGCATATTAATAATAAACCCTGAATGAGCTGCAGGAAGGAAGAGCAGGATGACTTTCTGTAGCATAGAAAATGTAACATAGAAAATGTTCAACTCAATCAGTTTAGTTCCTTTCTGTGAAAGTATTGGACTTTCCTGTTTCTATTTAAGCTCATGAGAAACAGGCAGAAAATAAAAAATATTAACCTCTATTCCTGAAGATCATCAGAAGGAAAAACATTTATTTTATTTCTGAAACATTTAAAAACTGTCAGCCCCGTAACTATGACAACCATTAATAAAACGTGTTCTTTTAAACCTATTTCGCTGTATTGGTGTTCCGTAAAAGTTTAAAAATCAATCCACTGGACTTGGTTTCCAACGTCTGAAGACGTTTCTCTTCCCATCCAGGAAGCTTTCTCAATTCAAAATGTTTGAATTCACAGTGAGAAAGTTTCCTGGATGGGAAGAGAAACGTCTTCAGACCTTGGAAACCAAGTCCAGTGGATTGATTTTTAAACTTTTTTTATGACTGAGAATCTTCACCAGCATACTGTATGGGTCTATTCACACCTTTTGAACTTTTCCATGTTTTTCCACATTAGAAACATAGACTTGTTTTATGTGGTATTATGTATTGCCGTATGAAGAAAATAAATAATTTAAAATATGTTTTAGTGCGCTGTCTAAAAGTATTCAGCCCCTAGAGTTTGTCATCTGCTCCATGCCACCTCAGAGCTTAGCTAGGGGAAGATCTGGAGCAAACAGCATCAAGGTCAGAGGTCAAAGGTTGTAGAGTTTATGACATCATGAAGTCTCACCCGTCCATCTGACTGCGTGTCGGATATGCGTCTTTTATATTTTGTTTGCTTGTAACTTATTTCAGTGTCTTGATGGAGAGTGAGACCAATGTTCCCATCTAGATGCTATCAGCTAGTCCAGAGTTCTGATTGGCTCTTAGAATAATAGCCCCTCCCACCACAGGTCAGCTGCCTTTTCTTGGTTGGTTTGCAGTTTTTCCAAACTAGGGTTAGCCGTAGCCCAGACGGCTAACCCTCCTTCAAACATCTCCAATACTTTCCGCCGCCGGTCTTCTGATGCTGCCTGTTCTAAACTCTAAAGCAGTGAGGGCAACACACCTGAATCCAATATGGCTGCCAGAATAGCTCCTCCCTGTTCCACAGCAGCTGGATTCATTTAAAGATCAAACACGCTGAGTCTGGTTCTACTGGAGCCTTCTTCCTGTTCTAGAAAACTTTGAATCAATCTGACTGGATGATCTGGTGAACTGGAAACTAACCTGAGATGACATGATGTGAATTGGAGCTATAGAAATAAACTGAATTGAAATTGAAACTGCAGGTGAATGTTAGGAGCAGCTGGCTGCACAGCATGGGAGCTGGGTTAGCTGGCATCAGAGTAAAGATGGTGAATAAATATGAACACAACAATTGCATAGTGTTTTGTAAAATCAAAAAAAAAAAAGAAAACTAATGGATTACTGTCATTAACCATTTAAATCTACTGTTATTAAAGTCGT